TGATCTGAATCTTAAATACCATATGAGTTTACCTTTGTTTATTAGAGGCTTCTTCTGCACGGAAGATTCTCAAAACTTGCAAAATGTGTAAGTGCAAGCTGCACAATTGCTTTGTGTTAAAAAATTCTTCTTTCATTCTAAGAGTAGATGACAAGTTCACTGGAAATTTCACACAGGTTTTATGTTGCTGGAATTCCTATGAAGTTTTTTGCTTGTTCTTTCAATCTGTTTTCAGTAAGAAGTCTTTGGACAGGGCTTTATTTAGCAGTTTTTCATGGCTGTCTAATTTCTGACTATAACAGTAATGGAACATCAGGTCCAAGAAAATCTGGTTCATCATAAAGACTTCTCTGTTTTATTTGTTAAGGAAATGTATTTGTATCTGTTTTAGAAATGTCTCTTGAATGCCGACCAAGGCTGCACATCCTGAGCACCCAAAGACATGAACATATGACTGCTTAGGGCTGGGTCCATACAGGATTTCCTGAGAACAACTATTTTCTGACAGCATTTATCTTACAACAGGGGGAATGCTTTTTAGCCAGCCAACATCAAAGAGATATTCCCTTTCTGTCAAAATACCATGAAAAGTCAGAGTCATCCACATTTTTGTAGCAATGCAGGTAAGTGCCATGTATGTAACACGTCAACAACAGGTCCAGTAAAACAAGCAAAGGAAAAGCTAAGCCACCACTGTATTCTTTCTTTTCCCCTATGCAGATACAGTTCTTCCAGCTCCTGGGGGGGAAATGTCACCCAGGAGGAGTGTGAAATGGCTATCAGGAAAGCACAACACTCCTGAGAGATAAGATGGCAATGAGATGCTGTTTCGGTAGTGCTAAGAGGCACATGCAGACATAGGGGCTATTTACCAGTTTACAGCTGACCTTCATTCCCCTGTTTATGTCACATGCATTCTGTTACATTCAACCTTGTTTCCTTTCAAAAAAAGGGTCTTTTGTGTGCTCATTAACACTATTAGCACTGGCTGTTTTCTAATTCTGGATAATAATTGAGAAACTCTAATTACTGTAATTACTATGCTCCTGGGGTGAGGTTTTATTTTTTATAATTATTTCTAAGTGATTTTGTTTGTAAATACTTTGTTATATTAAAAGCATGACAGACAATCATGGATCCTTGCAGCACATTTATTTATCAACCGCCTCCACTGAATTTCATCAGTGTATTTCACCATTTATTAATCAGATATTACTAAGTTTCTTCTGCCTCAAGCAAGTGGAAGAGAAAGCAACTTCTGACAAATGACAAATGATGTGACATGCCAAGTCTGATTCTGCCAACGGAGTATCAGTACCAGCCCAACAAGAGCAAAGATGGAGGTGACAGCTAGATGGCACAATTGAATATATTCTAAATCTTCCCAACATGGCTCTTTATGGAGGAAAGAAATGTTTCAATGTGTGCCAACACTGAAACAAATCAAGAAGCAACCTGAGACTCTGGCCAGAACATAAGCACCTTGATCCTGCTCCCGCTGCCTTCCACAGAAGGATCCAGCTGAGTCGTTTGGAGTTTGTACTCCAGAACAGTCTCTTGGAGTAAAAAAGATGCTTTCCTGTGTCTACTTTCTGATCACCCTTACACTGGTGGGATAAAACATTTTGTTTCTTCCAGAATAATCCACCAGATTATGGCAAATCTCTCAGGTAAAGATGTTGCCTAACATTACACTACTATCTTCAGCAGCTCTACCACTTACAAACATTGGCATGGAAGTCTCTTGCATGAATATAATCCAAAATACATTATTTTGAAATAGCTTGTCACACTAATTTAATTTTATGAGTGTTGATTCTTGGTTATGCTTTTTACCTGTTAGCGTGTGGTTTGGAAAAATCTGATTCTTGGACAAAAGTGCAGGTACAATATACCGTTAATTACTTGTTATTACCTTTCTGTGAACTTCATTGTGAGTGGAAAGTTGTTGAGCCCCGAATGAAGAAGACACTTTTTGTTCAAGGCTGTTTCAAGGGCTGCTTGTTTGTTTAGGTTTTCTTTGTAAAAGTTCTTATTTCAACCTAGGCCAATCTTAACTAAAAACTACTTCATCATCTATTATCAAAGAACTGTTCATGCAACTCAGCAATGATTTTTCTAAATGGCTGAGACCTCATTTAGATTTTTAATAAACAGTCACATTCTAATGAGGTCTTCATAAAACTGACTAAATATGTTTAGAAATCATTAGCTTAAATTACCAGTACAAAAGTCTCCTTAGGGAGCCCTACAGATTTTGTGATAAGACTTCTGGCAGATGGATTAGTATAACAGTGCAAGCGAATTCTGAATTTCCACACAAGCAGTGTAAATGTGAGTGACTGGGTAACAGGCTACTAGATAAAGAGCTAAATGTCCCTCAGTTGGGTTCATTAAAGAGGGAAAACAATCAAAACACATTTCGGTGCCATTTAAATACCAGGTGCACAGCAGTCTGCAGGTGCCAGAAACACTGACAAGGGTCCCTTGCTGGAACACACAAGAGCTTCAAGGGATGCATGGTTTTGACAAGTGTGCCTCAGATAATGACAGATATTGGCAGATGTACCCGGACCCTGCTGGAGGGTAATGCGGGGACTGAGTCATTTGCAGCAGGTGCTTGCATTAGGGACAGCCTCATGGTGATTCCTCCATCTGCAATTAAAACAGTCCTGATGCATAATGCTCCAGGGCAAGACGCAAGTTCCTAGAACTGATTTAATGACTATCCAGCCAGTCCTGGTAAACAAATACACATACGCCCCCTCAATGATTAATTCATGAAGGCTGTACACTGTGTGGCAAACATGTTGAATAGATTCTCCTCTTTCCTGAAAATATAAAGGAATTTTCCTCCTCGGCTTACAATGGGTCAACAGGGTCAAAAATTAAAAATAACAAACCCCTATAAATCTTATCCCAGCAATAGCAATTGAAAATAAAACCTCAAGTTTGGGAAGGTGACGAAGTTTGCCCTACAGGAATGCTACCAAAAGGTCCATTAAAATCACTACTAGTCAAGGTGGCACAGAGCTTGTGTCAGAGGTTGTGGGACAGATGGAGCGTTTGTAATTTGCCTCTTCGTTGCTGATGGTTCCAGCTCTGGGAGCGGGACAAAAACAGCAATGGAGGAGTTACTGCATTGTTCCGTGGCCTATACTACTTCATTTCCATTAAAAGCTCATTTCCATTTCTGCTCTCTGATATCACCTATGTTGGCCTCCAGAGAAAGTGAGAACAAAGTCATTTCTGCCACTGCCAGAAACAACAAAGCTGCAGATCTGTATCCCACTAGGACTCTTGCACCCTGAAGAAATCTCCACGGTGGCACAAACCATTGCTTGCTGCTAAGGGAATGTGCTGTATACCTAAGCACTGTGGGTGGAGGCTGCCAACACTGGCACCAAGACTGGCATCTCCCTCGCTGATACCCGACAGTTCACTCTAATTGGCGCTTTCAAACACTGACTTTAGGAAAACAGTATGTGGTTTCATGCAGTATGCTATTTTTGTTCTCAGGCTTGTTTATTCATACCCTGAAAACATCAGGTTTTAAGTTGTCTACTTGGGTACTTATGAACAGGTATAAAGCTTTAACAAAGAGGTTTGCTGGAGAGCTTCCTATTCTTACAAATCCATCTGTTTTGAATTGATGTGTGACCTGACCATCCAGCTATTTCTACCTTCTTCCTCGCTCAAGGGACTGAATTTTTAAAGCGGCCTCTATGATCCCTTTTTGTCACTGCAATTAGTTGTACATGTGTTCCTGCAGCAGGTGTTAATTGCAGTCAAAAATCCCATCTTTTTTATATCTAAAAATAATACTGGCACCTGATCTGTTAGCAGACTTGAGTACACAGACACCTAAATGTTAGGATTTGTATTATCAATTGACAAAGGACATATGGAAGAATAAATTGAGATTGTAAAATCGGACTTGCTAAAAAGGAGACACAATCTGACACTTTAACTCATACCACATAAAAAGTGCTCTCTCCTCATGCAAATGCCACACGGCAAGAAGAGGTATCAGACACTCCCCCCAGCATGAAATTAAATCATCTCTTAAAACCATGTGGCTCACACTGAGATATGTGTTCTTATTTCAACACCTCGATTTACAATAATTGCAGCAGTTCCCATAAAAGCAGTGATTTTTTTTCATTCCAAATGAAAGCTATATGCCAAGTTCCCAAGCAAATTTTCTTTAAAAGAAGCATCACAGATGAGAACTACGACACGAGTGCATACAAAAACAAGTAAATGAAAAGACTCAGTTACTGACAGTTGTGAGAAACAAAGAAAAGGGTTCCATTCAATACCTGTTGAAAACAAAATTAGCCATAAAGACTTGAGTAGGAGGCCTCTTTAGAAGTTCCCAAGCAAATAAAGAGAACTACACAGTATGGACCAGGTAACTCAAGCTTTCCTTTATGACCCAGCTCCTGAAGCTAACCTCCCAATCAACTAATATAGTGTACAAATGAGTAAAGTGAATCTTTTCTTGTTTAGTCCAGAAGGCTTACAGGAAAGAAAACCAAAACAAACCAGACTGATTTAGACTAATACACTATGATGTGATTTCATAATTTAACTCCTTTTCTCAGACATCTGTTTCAGAAACACTCCCCTCTAGCCTCCATGAAGGAAGATTCCATTCCTTGTTCTGCAGCAAATTCCCTGATTTCCTTAATAGAAATGATGTAGCTGAGATATAACCAAAGATTTGACACCTTTTTTGATTTGACACCAAAGATTCTGTACACCTCTGCGGTACAGAATGTGGCTTTATCAGTTATTTTTTCATTGTGCTAATGTTATCAAAGCTAAGCATCCAAGGCATGTTTAAACGTAATTGATAACAAACCTCTTCGCACAGGCAGTCATAAATATTTTATGTGCTATACTTAGTATATAAGCATCTTGTTGGTCTGTTATTTAATTTCCAAAAGCAAACACCTTGAAAGTATTTAATCTTTTTAAGTACAAAAATCACTTACCCTTCCCACTTCCACGAGATTAGTAACCATGATTATGCTGGCTGTGTTTTCATGCCATACCATTCTCCAGAAGTCATATATTGTCTCTTGCATTGGTCCTGAAACAATAAATCAAAAAAAAGGTTACTATCTGAAAGTCTCATGATTGGAAGCTTGTCTCTGGGGAACTTTTAGAAACCGTGACTATACACATATATTCATATCACTATCATATTTTTCATTTAGGGTCAATGTCTTTTCTGTCATCTCGCCTATCTGCAGTTAAGTATTTTTCCCCAGAAACAGTGTTCTGAAAGAAAGTTAGTTTTCCAGCATTTAGGTATTTATCTCCATAATACCCAGGAGTGGAATTATAAAAAATGGATAACATTACTCTTTCTTTTAACAATTGGATGATAACCTAGGGAAGGTGCATTTGAAACGAAATGAGCCTCAAGGGACTATGTGGCCTTTCCTGGTTTCTAATATTTTTCTTAGTATACACTATCCATCAAATTAGCCCAGCTCCTAAATTGTACCTCCCGAAGTGAGACAGAAGTTATAGTTTTTTGTGCAGTATATCACTTTGCTAAACAGTGGGGAAAGTGGTAAAGAAACCTGACATGCCAGAGCAGCATGCAGTGCCTTCCCCAACAACCTGTGTGCTCTTGTAGATGAACACACAGGGCTCCCTCCAGCGCCGTGCCGAAGCTGGGTGCCAGCCCACGGGAAATGCTACAGAAATGTAAAATGTTGAGAACCACCACATCCCTTTGCATATGCTTGCTCCTGTCTGTTTCTAGCCTACATGTCTTACCCACAGTGTTCAGTGTGCCACCCTGGTTTTAAACCACTGCTTTAAAATCAATGAGCCAATAAGAATAAACAATATAAACATAACATCCATACTGAATCCATTACTGAACTGTTACACTGCAGTAAACAATTAGGGGCTTATTTAAAGGAATGACTTAAATCAGCTAATTGAAGAACAAATGGATAATGTACTGGCCTAACTGTTCCTCTAGTAAAGAAGCCAACACTCTTAAAGCATTACAAAACCATACAGTGACAGATTTGGGTAGTTTGGCACCCATGTTTTGTACTTTGAGCTCCCTTTGCAAATAAAATCTTCACTCTGAAATCAAGTTTTGAGTGGAAAATGTAGTAATATATTATTACTATATTATAATGGCAGAAGGGTTGGACTAGATAATACCTGAAGGTCCCTTCCAACCCAAACCATTCTGTGACTTTGTGACTCCATGCTATCACGGAGCCAAAATCAGCTCATTGGGCAAATAACATCACAGGTATGACGTAACTTACTTAGAACTCAAATTTAAGAAAAAGCATGGCAATAGTCTAAAACTCTTGATTTTTTTAAAATGTATTTTTATTTTTGGCAATAACTATTGATTGTAAAAAAATTTTTATCTTCAGCAATGCCAGGGGATAATTTTATCATCCATAATTTGCATAGATATTTATTTTATCCATCTTTAAAAATTATGCATATATTGTTAGTTTCACAGCTTTCCTTATGGTCACTCAGCTTATCTTTTAATTGTTTTGGTTGTTCATGGAACAGGAGAAAAAGCCATTTAAAACACCAGGAAGCTATGACAGTTGGAACATGAGAAATGTCAGGATATCTTAGAGCACAAACAACATCAGAATCTAAAAATACAGTTTCTGAAATTACTAAATTCAAGCAAATGTTGTGGCTGCAAAATTGGACACTTTTGGTTTTTTTCTTCTAATTAACAGCACAGAACAGGTGATACTTCTTTGAGATTTCATTCTGAATTATGACAAAGGTTAAAGCACTCTCCATCACATGGGAATTTACAAGAAGTCTTTCACTTCTGCTTAAGTGCCCTGGATATGTAATACAGTCATGGTCCAAGTGCAGTTTGAATGTCACAGTAATGCACTTAATATACACTGTAGTAAAAGTTTAGCTGGTTGTGTTTTAATATGGTAGGATTCAATATAGGTGCTTTGGCAATTAAAGTCACGACAGCAGCAGAAAGGTTTTGTGCCAGCCTCTCCTGCTGATAAAAAAAGAAAGGAGACTATTCTACTCACTGTAGGAAAATACTACCTCTGTATAGCTTTTTCCTTCCTCCCTCTCAAATCTCAAAAAAATATTTAGTGAAATTACTATTGCTATCGCCTTTCAAAGAGCATAGCTAAAACAGAATTAGGGAAAGGTGGTTTTCCACAGAGTAGTGTCCTGGAAAGAGTCTGCAAGTTCATGACACATTATTAAGATTATTTAAGCTTGATCAAAGACAAAAAATAACAGCACTATTACAAATACATTAACTAACACATACACTAACACTAACAACACTATTGCTTCAAGAATCCTGGTTTAATGGAGAAAATCTAAACGGTTCCACTGCATTCTGTCTCCATGAGATTATGTGATGTTTCAAGAGATTTCATCTGAGTATATTTCTGGTAATGCTGCAGGAAAGGTAAGACAGCTTTCTTCTCTTCCCCTTGCAAGAAGCCAGAATCTTTGAGAATGGGGTGATGTAGCAAGTTTCTTTATGTATTAAATCAGTTTTCTTTCCTACAGATTCACTTGAGATACAAGACTGTTGGGTCCTACTTTGTAACAGTCATTTCTTTTTGACAGCTCTGGGATAACCTGCAACAATTTATTCCTGATTATTTTTTTGTCTACAGACAGAATAATTTGTGCCATGATTTAAAGATTCCTACATTTCATATCCTGAAATCACAAATCACAATGGGAAGAGATGCTAAACACTAATTTATTCCTGTGGACTTTGAATTTGTTATTCTCTATAAACAAAAAAGATAATAAATTATGAGAAAAACAAATCCTTAGAAAAAGTAATACTATTTTTCAGGCCAGAGAAAGAGCTGAGCTCTGACAAGTCTTTCAAGCTTGATTCCAAATGTATTTCTAGAAGAAATGTCTTATTCTGCAGTGCTGAGTATGCTCTTCTCAATCTTGCTATCCAAATGATAAGACAATCATAATTAAAAGTGCTTGACAAGATTTCCTGCTCTCCTCACATATTCTCAAGTGTTTTCTTGCTTTTCTTCTCCAGTTCTTAGATGTTGCCTCCAAACTTCTTTCACATTCAGGACATGGAAAGAAAAACCCCACACCAAAACCTACCTTGAAGTCCCAGAAAGTAATTCTTCTAGCCCCCATTTTTCTTTTCTTCTTAACATTTAAAAAATCATTTTTTGTCATATGAATAAATTCTTACTCGTCTCCAGTGAGAATTGAAAAGCATTAGAGGCTAGGTAGGCTTGGAGGATTTATTGTCCTGAAGAACTGAATTCTAGAGACTCATAGTAGGGAGATGAAGAACCTATAACTGTTCTAAGTATCAACTTAACAGATGTGTACACAATAGGCAGAAAGGTTATTCCCAGCAGTTGCCTCCTGCAGGAGGAGAAGGTCTGAAGAGAAGGTACTGTGCTACCTAACAGTTAAGCCTGTGGCATACCCCATTAGCTCCACAAGAGAGTAGTTGGTATCAAAGATCTCTGCTGTGAAAAAAAAGAAATCAGCAATATACTGCAACCAGAAGATGAAAAGCAAAGGCAAATAAGAAAAAGAAATCAGGCCTCCAAACCCCTAGCTAATTAAATGCATTACTGAAAAAGCTCAACAGAAAGGATTGGTTGTATATATCAGAACCATTAGTTGTATTACCAGCAGTTGTTAGTTGCTGCTCTGGGAACACAAACTTATTAGGAAATGGAACATCACAAAGCTTTTAAGAATGGTTTAAACTTTTAAGAAGTTGCTTTTGTACACAGAGCTTTCTAGAGCCTCTCTTTCTGCTTGCTAGTGTGAGACCCAGTTCTAAGAACTGGCATTGCTACTGGGGTATGTGGTCAATTTGAATGCAATTAATACAGGAAAAAGTGTTCAGATGTAGGAAAGAAAGCAAGCAGAAAAAGAAACAAGTATAACCTGAATCCTGACATGTACGTGGCACTTACTTAGACGGGACTTGTAAATTTATGGGTCATTTTTCAATTTCTAGAAAAGCAAGCAGCTTAAACAAGCTTCTAAAACATTTTTGTAGCATAGAATGTCAAATCCACAAGCTAACATTTGGTCCACCTGAGACCAAGCTCAGTGATAAATATTAAAGCCAGAAATGTGCAGAAAATGAACAGATACCCTTAAGCTCCAAAGGCTCCCCTGGGACAGTGCATGGGCAGTGGGAGCCATAAGTATGTGCTGATAGAGGCAGCAGACTGACAAGATGCAAGACTTATATCTGCAGCAGCTACACTCCATCTCAAAAAGAGTGCAATAAACCTCCTTCCATTGACTAGACATAACCATACCATATGAGGAGCTGATTATAAAATGGTCCTTTCACCTAATGGTTACTGCAGTTTCTAGTAGCAATGATAACTTTGTTCACTTTTTACTGAAGAAAAACCTGCTGCTTGCTATTGTGACTGTCTACAACTTGATCACTGAAGGACATCTAGCTAATATGCCTACATAGAGGGAGCTGCATTTTAGCCCTCATTCTTTACTATGTATGTTTCCTTCTCAATGAACTTGAGATACAGTGTTTTCTTATTGAGAGATATGGCTACATGGCAACAACAACAACAATAAAAAAGCCCAAAAGCAGTATTTCCCTTTGCAACTACAGTGTCAAAAAATCCCAAGCCCATTATGTAGCAGAAATTGTCAAAAATACGTATGAAAGCATACAAACAGAGGGGGAAAATATTTTTGGGAGAGGAGACTACAAGCTAATAGATTAAAAAGTTCAAGAAATCTCATTTTCCTAATCAACGTCTTATTTGGGACAGACTTAGCTGTTAGTAGGATAATTGACAGCGTATTTCACAGGAGGAAGCAAAATTACAAGGCTGTGCTGCCAGTCCAGAGATCTGATAATCCATAAGTGTATGTTTATTTGCTCTTTTAATCGTGCTAGAATTTGGAGGTAAGAACAAAATGCCCTTTCAGAAAAGATTAAAAAACTGCAGCTAAATGTTACTTCACACTATAAATATCCTTGACTGCAGGCAAGGGAAAATCACCCTTAACTGAAATACCTCTTTTCCCTACTCAATAATGCAAGGTACC